CTTTATTCGATTCAATTAACGGTTAAAAAAATTGATTAATTCGATTAATGGTTGATGTTAACAGATATTTTTAATAAATAAAATGTAAAATCTATTAGTTATATTCTTGGGTGGAAATGGGGATTTCATGACTGACTTGGAAAATGTTACTATCATTTATCCAAATTGACATTCCTTCTCAATAAAATATTTTTTTGAATTGACCCTATGAGGATCTGGTCAAAGTTGGTTGAACTCATGGAGGAGATATCAAGGAGAAGGTGGGGGGGGGGGGGGGAGGGGAGAAATGCAATCTGGGGGCATTTACGAAGGTCTCCTCCTCGCCAAGACCATCAGGTCCAACTTAGGGATGGGCATGAAATTCGAATTTGACGATTTTTTTAAAAAAAATTGAGTTTGGGTTAGAATTTTTTAAATATGATATTCGGTTCAAGTCAGATTTGAATTTAGGGTAAAAAATATCCGAATCAATCTAAAAAAATATATAATTTTACCTTATATATTTAGGAATAATTACAATAATACCCCTCTATATATATATTTTTTAATTAAGTCACTGTTTTTAATGAATAAAAATAATATTTTTTATTATTTCAGGTCAGGTCGGATAGGTTTTTAAGTTATATATCGGTTTGGATTGGGTAAAAACTTATTTTGATCGGATCGAATCGAGTTTCAGGTGGATGATTCATTATTCTCGAGTCGGATGAATAAAAAATCCGGCCAACCAGACCCATGCACATCCCTAGGTGCACCAGGCTCATTGTCCAGTCAGATAACTATATAAAGTGTGTTATATATAGTTATATGGGGCATTTACGAATTTCAAGCTTTCTACTTGAACTATATAAAGTGTGTTTTATAGAAAACACCTTATTATCTTGAAACAAGCTCAGTCAAAAATTATATCTTTAAAAGGTTATATTTAAATACTTCAAAATAGGTGCCTAAATTAATTTTCGTCTTATCCAGGTGCTTAACATTACAAATGCTATCTATTTAGGTGTCTGGGACGATAATGGTGTTAATTTATATGTTAAATAACACGTGTCACAACCTGATAATTTTAAAATTTTATTTAAAATTAAAAAAGTAAAATTATATATTTAAAAAACAGATTTTTTTAAATAAACCCAAAAGTTTGAAAACATTCATTTCAACACCTAAACTCACACCGGCCTCTACCTTTTACCGTTGACGAAGCTCCACCCGACCTCCCCTCCTCCCGCCGACCAAAAGCCCCATGAAATTGTGATCCATTGACAGCCTATCGACGAAGAACCAACGTTTTAAACAGACCGAACCTTAGGATTAAATTTGCGATCCAACACGATTTTGATGGCTAATCGACGGAAAATAAGACAGTGTATGAGTAGGAGGATGGCAAGAACTACGTCGGCGACGGTAGTCGTGGCCCGAACCTTAGGACTAACATTGTTTAGTGATATCAAATTGTTTACTACTTTAACCATTCTTGATGGTAATGAATTTGAATATTTTAAAAATGATTGACGCCAATCTATTTTAAAATCTTAGGATGGATTTGAACATTTAAAATTGATTGACGGCGATGAAAGAACACTACTTTTTGAAAGACCGAATCCGTTATTGTTATTTATTTACTTATTTTTATAAACCTACCCATGGAGTATTATTATTATTATCCCATTTATTTCACGAAATTCAATTATTTTATATTTATCTGATTTGTGATATTTGAATAAACACGTGGCACATTCCTCTAACGTACGTAGAACTGCGTATGGATGGAATGGCTTGCCCCCGACATCTCTAGTACTTTGGATATTCTTCTTCAAAATTATCATTAATAAATCAAATTTAAATATTAACCGAATTAAAATATTTAATTGATTTTAAAATTATTTATGAATAATATAACTACATATATTAAGAGATTCCGCATCCAATTATAATTAATATATTTAAATAAATATTTTTTGTATAAAACAATCAAATTAATAATCATGATATATTTAGATTGAATTAGTCCTGAAAACTTTTGACTAATCCGTGTTTGGTTGGAACGTGACCAACCAATAACCGGGTATTACCGGCACGTGTCAGTAACTAACAGGTAGCATCCGCCATTCTCCTTGTATAAACGTCATTGCTGGCGCGGCACCGGATCGGGTTGCTCTACTGCACCCGCCATTCTTTCTCACTCTTCATCTAAATTAGTTTATTTTATTTATTTATTTATTTATTTATTTAAAATGTATACCACAAATAAATGTTTACAAATAACCGAATTATTAATGAGTTGGGATTAATTTCATTTTAAAAATAATACTCTTATTTTATTTTCAGCATTATTTTCATTAATAACTTTTGATTGATCGAGTACAGTTATATGTTGGGGGAAATTCTACAACGTTTAAGAGTATAGATGAGCACAACTAACGATGAACACCATTAATTTAGTTTATAAAAATTTAAAGGGCTCTGTGGGACATTACACCAAACTCTGCAATTAAGATGTCCTTGGGGTGGTGTCTGTATCCGAAAAATTGAGGGAGGGAAAACTACGATAGTTTAGGCATGTCCCTAGGCGACAACTGTCAGATGCAGTTAGGAGGGTAGAGTCGATTACAACCGACGGTGTCAGAAGGAGAGGACGACCAAGGAGGAAGTGGGTAGACTGCTTGAGATATGATTTGAAGGATTTAACCCTTACCGAGGACATGACATCTGACAAGAAAGTATGAAGACTTAAGACCAGAGTAGCCGAGTAGTGTGGGCCACACCCATAGGGTATAGCATCTTTGTCTTCTTTTTTAATGCATTTGTAGTAATTTCCATGACTTCTACTTTTTATACGGTTTTGTCATTGGAATTTAAGAAGGCTTAAAACTAGGGTAGCGGAGTAGTGTTGCCTTAGTTTAGGTTTTAACCCATTTGACTTTATACATTCTCGTAGCTTGCTATCGTTGACTACTGTGTATCTTTCTCTTCATGTTTCATCTTTTTAAATTTAGCCGGGACTTACATTTTCTGTCTATATGCAGAGATTTTTACGCAGAGATTTATTTGCAGGGATTACTTCCCATTACAGATGCGCATATGAAGACTGCATATGAAGTCTGTTCAACTATGTATTTTATCTTTATTTTTATTTTTCTGACTGCCGGAGGTTTTCCATGGAAGCTGCTCTCTACCTGACGTTGGGGGCAGCCTACTACCCTACTTTCCCTTTACCCCATTACATATGGGAATAGGTTTTTGTTGTTGTAAAGGGCTCAATGTATAATTATAAGTTAATAAAAAATTTAAAGGTAAATTATTTAAAATAAAAGATAAGTTATACTAATGACCACCTAACTATTATTCCTTTTTATTTTGACCATCATTTTTGAAATTTTATCAATTAGGCCACTTAATTATTTAAATGCATTCAGTTAAGCCACTTGCCGTTAATATTTACGGAAAAGTTGATGTGGTAGTTAAAATATTTGATATTATTACACATTTGGTCCTTGTTAGTTATATATTCTATCAATTTGGTCTTAACTTTAATAAATTAAAATAAATTTAACCCTCAAATCAAATGGTGTCAAAGTAGTCTTTATTCATCTTTTTCTTTCAATTCGTAGGAAAACAAATAATAAAAGAAAAGAAATATTACAAAAAATGATTTCATTTTTGTGAAATTAAAAACATAAATAAATATCAGATGCTTTGATTTAAAAAATACATCTATATTAAGTAAAATCAAAATTTAAACTCTTAAAAATTAATCCAAAACAAATAGATTTTACTTATAATGCGATGAATTAGGTAAAAGTTAAGTTATAATACTTTGATAGTTGAGTAATAAAAAATAAATATTTTTAAACAAACAATCTAAAAGAAATTACAAAATAAAATAAAACATCTAATTTAAACTCATAAAATATTGAAAGATACAATTTAAACACCTAATTTTGTCACACTAATTGTCTTTTGTGTATCAATGTAAAATATAATATTTTAAGCTAAAAAAGAGAACATGAAGAAATACCGACACGTCTCATCACAAAACATTGGCATGTTTATTTTACTTTATTATTAGGAATAATAAAAGCTGCTAAAGAGAAAGAAAAATTGTAGTGGCTGGCATTAAATTGGATTCATCTTCAATTAATTACTTTGACATATTTTAGGGTTAATTTTATTTTAATTTATTAAAATTAGGACTAATTTGATAGAATATATAAGTAACAATTATTAAATGTGTAATTATACCAAATATTTTAATTGCCACATCAACTTTTCAGTTAAATATTAACGGCGAGTGGTTTTATGGAATGCATTTAAATAGTACTTAAGTGACATGATTGACAAAATTTCAAAAATGATGGTCAAAATAAAAAGGGTCAATAGTTAGGTGGTCACTTGTATAGTTTACATTTTTCTTTAAATAAATTTCCTTTAAATTTCAACTAATTTATAATTATACGTTGAGTCCTTTAGATTTTTAACGTTTTATAAATTAATTTATCGATATTCATTATTAGTGGTGCTCATTGTCACTCTTCGAGCGTGGAAGAATCATCCTTGACATCAACTGAGATGCAATATTTAATGTTTTAAGGTTTCTATTTTAGAATTTTTATTCAATTTCCCCCTTTATTAGTGGTGGATAATCTTCGAGTTGGTGCATTGGTTAGGGTAAACAGCCTTATATAATTTAGGGTGGTTTTTATGAGGTACAAGATAATAATCCTTTCTCACCCCAAAAAAACATTGGTTAGGGTTTGTGACAGTTATTTGTATTAGGATGGGTATTATTTTTGAAAATTTTAAATTCTTATATCATTTAAGTATTTTTTATTAATAATTCAAATTTATATCTTTTAAACTTTTGATATATCTTTTTAAAAAATCATATTCTTTAACATAAAATCATTAGGATGTCTTATTCTTAATACATTCAGAAAATGCTCATTCAGAGAATCCAAGTGTTTTGGAAAAAGCTAATAAATGTGTGACTGCTAATAAATATGGTTGATATTATCGGTTTCTTATGCAAGGAAGAAAACTTGTCGAATCCTGGAACTGCTCTTCAAGCTCCGGCTTCCGTTTTCATTCGTAAAGGAGACGTTGTCCGCCATGTAGAACCTAACGCGAGGTAGGTTTTTCATTGGGAGGGGATTTCTTTCTTCTTACTTGAGATTTCCAAATTTTATTATTAATTCATATTATTAATTTATTTGATTTGATTTTTCAGTTTGGTGGAAGCTATAGATTTGATTCAGGAAGGAGCACAAAATCTGGTAATACCATTGGAGAACGGATGCAGGAATTCAAGGAGAAAGCTTCTTCAAAACGCTTTGTCGAATTCAACCTTCCATAATAACCGGCAATATTGTTGGCTAACTCAAGAAGATATAGTTCGTTACCTTGTGAATTCAATTGCTCTTTTTAGCCAAACTGCTGTCAATCCAATCAACTCCCTTGACATAATTGATGCTCAGAATATCACGACCGTTCATTATGATGACCCGGCTTCATTGGCCTTGCCCTCCATTTCCCGGTCCCTTGAAATACAAAATTCCGTTGCAGTCGTAGACGGTGATGGCAAGTTGGTCGGAGAAATTTCGCCCTTCACTTTGAATTATTGTGATGAGGATGTTGTGGCTGCCATTGCGACACTCTCAGCTGGTGATTTGATGGCTTACATTGATTGCGGTGGACCACCGGAGGATTTGATTCAGTTGGTGAAAGAGAGGTTGCAAGAAAGGAATCTAGTGAAAGCCCTGGAATTGATGGAAGAAGATTCAGGGATTTCCTCTGGAATCTCATTGGTTTCATCGTTGTGTTCCTCGTCCTCAGAGGATGAGGGGTTCGGGTTTGGGAGGCGCAATGGGAGGTTGGGAGGGTATTCAGCAAAAGTGGTGAGGACATCAGAGGCCATTGTATGTCATCCATGGAGCTCGTTGGTGGCAGTTATGATTCAAGCACTCTCACACCGTGTAGGTCACGTCTGGGTTGTCGAAGAATATCAAACTTTAGTCGGGATTGTTACCTTTGCTGGGATGCTAGAAGTTTTCCGGGAAGATTGAGGACCATGGCTTAGGCTATCATTGAAGAAATCCGAACATAAACACCAAAAAGAAAAAGAAATCCACAATAAAAAAAAAACTTGATTTGGTGATTATAATTCGGATGTATTGATTCAGGGAGACCCAGAAATGAAAATCAACCTGAAAGAAATCAATAGGAATCGTTTTTGAGTTTTCTGGAAAACAAACTCCTCTATACTAAAGAGTTTTCTCTCTGCTTTGTCCCTTATTTTCCCAGTTATTCTATCAATCAAACAGATTCTAGACTGTATCATGCTACAAATTAACGGCTTGTAGAAACCGAAAATATTGGTAACTTTAACAATGAAAATTTGGAGCAATGGATCCTTTAAAGCATTACTACAGTAAACAAGGACGAAGCAGGATTTAATGCAGGAGGAGAAAACAGATTATCAATAGAAAATATAAAAAAATATCTAGCATACATGAGAATTTGAAACTTTTCGGAGACAGACCGCTCCCGTCAACTCCTTGGTCCATCCTTAACAAAAACAGAATTTAACAGCAAATAGCATGTTACGTATAAAGTTAGATAAATTCTGATGATATTATAAGCTAATTTTATTTAATATATAAGCAATATCATTGTTTTATTCTTATACCACGAAGACACGAAGCCATACTTGTTGCATTTTTCCCATAATAGGTAAGAAGAACGACAAAAAATTATACGGGATAGCAGAGAAAGTTTAAAGAGATCAATGTGTAGTTGTTTTCATTACTGCTGTCGTAAATCGTAATAACTAGAAATACCTATACTTCAGCTCGGATATACATGATGATAAGGCATCTCTTACATGCAGATTTTTGGAGTCCATATGGAGTGCATCTTCATATAACCTCTTTGCCTGCAGTAGTAGCTTCATCTTCTCTTTACTGTTACTAGGCCTTAGGCGAGATCGTTGCTGCAATATGGCTCCCCATCTAAACAGGGCTGTAAATCGAACATACACAGTATTAAGGGGAATTCCATATTCACCATTCATTCAATAAATGTAGAATTATACTTGTAATCCAGTAAATATGAATGTTCTTTCGCATGATCCTAAAGATATATACAACGCATGATCATAGAGACACGCAGAAACTAACAATATCTGTTTCGTGGTTATGACTAAACCGTTGGGCGTTGGGAGGCTATAAATCAGTAATTGATGGTTGTACAAGTAACATATCAACATTATGATATTAACTTGACTGACACAAAAGAAGGTAGATGTACCATCGGGGGCATGAACGTTGCCTCTGGTCATCATGGCATCAAATTTATCGATTGCAGCCAAGAATAGTTTGTCAGCGTCGTACACAGCTTCCTGAAATCAGAAAGATGTAATCCAACATTTAAAAATTCTGAGATTAACAAGTGCAATTCCCCACAATAAGCGACCCCATCACCCCCCACACCTGATGAAGGTCACACATAAAATGTTGATCAAACCATTTCCCTTTGACCAAGATTTTTTTTTGCAACGGACAAGAAACTAAATTTCAGTTCCAGAAATGCTTACCGGTCCAATATCTGCAATCAACTGTGCACGAAAAGACAGAGCAAGACCCCAATTATAAAGGGATCTCACGTCATCTCCATCGATTGATAATGCGAGCCGATATTTTCGCCCAGCCCTCACAAGGAGCTCTTCACACTCTTCACAAGCACTAACTAAGAGGGATATAACTTCGTCTCTACTTGAAACTTGATCTAGTCTGTTAACTACTCTTCCTTGCGGCCTCCCACCAGTTATGGGATCATTTTTAGTAAGAAGAGTTCTCAGCTCACGACTGACATGTAGTTTCAATTCTCCGTGAAGAAGATAAGTGTTGCCTAACTGGCCCACAGCCAACAGGCTCATGGGCTTCATTGCGATGGCCTGTGAGAGTAATGTGGCGGACCTATTCAAGACGACTTCGACACGCCTTTCATCTCGTCTTCCCCTCATACACTCTTTGGCTTCTTTAAGAAGATCACTAGCTTCTGTAAGATACTTATCAAAGGTCACATCTTCGACAAACTTTGACGAAGATGATGAAGCGACCTCATTCTCAGCTGCAGTTACACGACCGGATAGGTCGGAATCATCTTCATAGCGTTGTCTCTTCCCATATGCCTCATTTTCTCTCTTCTCTTGGTTGTGAGAAGACATGTAAGATCTACTAGATTCATGATGCAGCTGCTCATGTATAAAGGAAGTTTCAGTTTTCATGTGTTCCAGTCTGACACTGAAATCCACGGAATCAAGCAGATTATCATCGGATTTCCGTCTTTTCCTCTCATTCGCATTACTTGAGTTGAAAGAGATGTCGTGAGTATTTGTGAACTGTAATCTTCTGCTCTCGTAATTATAATCTTCACTATCAACAAATCTCTTAGCATTTGCACCCAGAAAGTCGGACCTTATTTTATCATTTTCCAAATCAAAATCTATTTCTCTACCCCTTTCTCGACCCAAATCAGACTTATTCAAAGAATCTTGAGCAAAGCCTCGATTTGAAACACGTTTTCCGTTATCAGGTGAACAAAAAACCCTATCTTCCACAGCAGGCAACAAAACATCTCCTCGGATTTTATTATTTAAATTAGTATCCACAATCTCTGGCTTAACATCATCTTTTACTTTGTTTGGCTTCGATGCCACCGATTTTTCGCCAAACATATCACCAAGAAATTTAAACAACTCAAACCTAGCATCGCCAGCCTCCTTTTTTTTCTACCTGATGGTTTTGGATTATCTTTATAAGAGTTCCCAACGCTATCCATAGAAGCTTCAACAACACTTCTAGCATTTGAAGCTGATAACCTCATGGATTCCACTAAATTAGCATAGTTCTCCAAATCAGCTACATTAATTCTGTTAGAATCAATAGCTCTTTGTATATTATTCTTCAAGCTATTAACTTTAGTATCAAACCCATCAAAAAAATCCACTAAATTCCTCAATTTCTCACTGTAAACTCTTGAAATTTCCTCCTTTGACCTCCTCCTATTTGAACTTAACTCATTGAAACTTCTTTCTTTAACAAACCCAAACGAAAACCCAATACCAAAAACCAAAATAGAAGCCGGAAATAATACAATCGTAGAAACCCTAACCCTAGAAATAGCCAATGCACAAACGAGCCCCGATAAAAACACAAATACATGGTTCTTATCATAAATCCCGATAGAGACAAGGAAATCACGGAACCGAATTGACTCACCCGGGTTAGAAGACCAAGTGCCGGGCTCAAAATCGTCCCACCCGCCGTAACTCGAAGGTTCAGCCAATAAAGAAGCCTTGGCGGGAGTGACGTTGAGGCTTCCACCGATTTTGAGGAAGTTTCTCCGGGAGAAACGACGAAATTTGATACTTTGTCGTGAGGGGAAATGGAAAGGGAAAATCGAAGTGGAATATTGCGAGTTGGAGATTTTGAATTTGATTGGAGTCTTCAAAATCAAGGTTTCCATGAGAGACTGAGAGGAACTGATTGTTCGAAACAGTTTTAGTAGTTATCACGTTTGAAGTACAACTTCAGGCGTGAGCCGATCTTGTAACTTGTTGACATCAACGGGAGCTTGAACTGAAAGGTTATTTATTAATATATATATATATGGAAAACTACTAGAATGACCATTCAACTATTGTATCTTTTTATTTTGGCCAATATGTTTTGATTTTGTTAATCAGACAGCTTAACTGTTTAAATATTTCAATCAAGGCACTGACAATTAACTTTTAACGGAGAAAGTGATATTGATCTTGAATAAGTTTCATGGGAAAATAATCGTAAGAAAAAATGAGTGAAATGTGAATGTTTTGTACTGTTTTTGTCACAAAAGATAATTGATGATGGGCAATGATTGACTATCGGTGGCAGTTGAAAAGTATAATTCAAAAAAGTAAAATATTTTAAAAATTCATTGATACACCTTTAAAGTTTATTGTCTAAGACAAGGCCATTTTAGGTATCAATAATACGAGTCACAAAAATGACATCGTTTCATTTACGTCATCACAATGACGAATTCACATAGATGTACGATTAATATTTTAACGATTCAGTGACATGATTGAAATATAAATCAAAGTTTAATGTTATAATTAATAAAATTAAAAGTTTATAATGTATGAAGTTCAGTGGTGTCTCGTGTAGTTTACTCAAAGATTAATTAAAAAGTTCAAAAAGAAAGGTCTAAATCCCAAGCTGGATTTTGTAGGTTAGAACCGTGCAATTGCATCAACACCGTCCATACGTCGAAAGCCTTCCGAATGTTTTAGGTTCTCATAATATCACAAAAAAAAAAAAGTAAAATCTTTTCAAAGAAGGAAGCAGTGTTGGAAGATCAGGCGAGGGTAATCAAACGGTTGATAGATAGAGATGGGGAAAGGAGGGAAAGAGAGAGAGGAAGATAAAGAAGAGATATTAATGGCGAATGACTTTTTCTGGTCATACACAGACGAGCCTCATGCTTCTAGGAGACGTCAGATCCTCTCTCAATACCCTCAAATCAAAGAGCTCTTTGGCCCTGATCCCTTTGCTTTCCTTAAGGTATTCACTCCCCTCACATTTTTTTCGTGTTTCTTCTGCTGCATTTTTTAGATCCCAGGGAATGCAAATGCAAGTGGATTGAATCCATTTGATTCCGAGTTATTTTGTTTATTTAGCTCAATTGGAAATCTGGGTCTTTCGATTCACATTGTTTGGGATTAAGTTCTTTACGCGATTTGATTCCAGGGGTAGTTCATTTTTTATACTATTTCATTGAAATGGTTGTTGATTTGGTGGAATCTATATCTCATTTGCTTTGCCAACTTTCTGACAATAGTGATATTTTTGTATCAAATAACCATCCTTAGCGTTGAATATTTATTTAAAATTTGTTTGGATTTGTTGTGCTGAACTCATCAAGATCTTTTGCAAGGTTCCAAATTACTATGCTAGCTAAGAAAAATAAACTGGTTTTCGTTCAATTAATTTAGCTTCATTATTGTGTTTTTAGTCATGGTACTCAGATTTGGGTTTATAGGATTTGGACATGTTTCTGATTTGTTCATGTATTTCGAGGGTTCTTGGAGAGTGATATCTCTATTCATGTATGAATGCACCTCCTCTCTGGTGTATCGGACATGATTATTTCTTGGAAAATGATGAGTCAAATAGTTTTGGAATTTGAAGATGTGGTGGTTCACATCAAATTTAGTTGGAGTCGAAATTCAGCTCTTATCAGAAGCATCTATTTTATTTGGTGTCATTTTTGTTTTCCTTCTATTGCTGGTCTTTTCGGCTTTAGCAACTTTGATGGTCTTTTCGGCTTTAGCAACTTTGAAATGATGGTATGGGCAATATATTTATATCGAAACTGCGTTTGCAGGTTACTGTGGTTGTTTTACTTCAGCTATGTGCTGCAATTATCCTCCGTGATGCCAGCTGGCTGAAGATGTTGATAATTGCCTACTTCTTTGGTTCTTTCCTCAACCACAATCTCTTCTTAGCCATCCATGAGCTCAGCCACAATCTTGCCTTCTCCACTCCGGTTTACAACCGTTGGCTAGGGATTTTCGCTAATCTCCCTATTGGTGTGCCGATGTCTGTCACTTTCCAGAAGTATCACCTTGAGCATCATCGTTTCCAAGGGGTTGATGGCATCGACATGGATGTCCCGAGCCACACCGAAGCCCATTTTGTGACTAATTCTGTCTCGAAAGCTGTATGGGTCATCTTCCAACTCTTCTTCTACGCACTCCGCCCTCTGTTTCTCAAACCGAAGCCCCCTGGTTATTGGGAGTTCATCAACTTAATTATTCAGGTTGCTCTTGATGTTATGTTAGTTTATTTTTGGGGCTGGAAATCTTTTGCTTATTTGACCCTTTCAACATTTGTTGGTGGTGGAATGCACCCAATGGCCGGCCATTTCATCTCCGAGCATTACGTATTCAATCCTAAACAAGAAACATATTCTTATTATGGTCCCCTGAATCTTATGACATGGAGTGTTGGCTACCACAACGAGCACCACGATTTCCCAAGGATTCCGGGTAACAAACTGCATAAGGTGAAGGAGATTGCTCCCGAATATTATGAAGGTTTGGATTCGTATAAATCATGGAGCCAGGTTATTTACATGTACATTATGGACCGGAGTGTCGGCCCTTATAGCCGAATGAAGAGGAAGATCTCGAAAAAACCCGAATAGATCTTTCCCATTTTGATCTCTCTTTCCACCCTTGGTCCCATTAGGAGTTTAATTCAATATTGTTATTGGTTGTAACGTTCTTGAGGAATTAAATTTCTATCATGTTGTTTTAGATGATGGAACTTATTATTTATTGATTAGTCATTTAAAGTAATTATCTTTTGCACTGAAGATGCAAGACATTGATGGTATAAGGGCCAAAGCTGCCCCTTGATTGGTTGTGCTTTCATGGTGTTTTCGTTTTCCATTTGTCGATGGCATCTTCCGAAAGGTACTGAATTTGTTGTTAATCTTTCAACTTATTTGCCTGTTCGAAAGAACCTATTTTCACTGGCAAAAATGGTAAGTTGGAAAGATACATTCAAAGAATCCATTCTTGTTTAAAAGGGGAAAATCCCCAATCACACATAACGAAGTTGTGATCGTCAAATAACTTGTGCATGTATTTATTTTTGAGAGATGATGTTGTAGGTAGATATTGAATTTTATTCGGATCATTTTCGGATTTGAATCGATGTGTCTATTTGAACTGTTTCTTATATCAATTACATTTCTAAAAAGGGATTTCATGGGGAAAAACGACTGATTAACGAGTATATATCAATTTGGTGAACAAAGAACTTTCTTTGAGGAATCAGAGTGGCATATCAGCCTACAGTCTCTGTTATATTCCTAAATTTTCATTCACCATGTTCACTCACAATAATATGCAACAATGGTGATTGCTCGTATGGTTTCTAAACAAAACTAAAGGAGTTTCATTCAGAATATGAAAATTCTCAAATCACCAAATCTGAGAAAAGCATTTCCATGTGGCCGTGATTAACAAAATTGGAGGCGCACATCACTTTCCCATGTTAGTTACCAGAAATGTTTTGAAGGGTTAAATAGGGTGGCAACTGATAGGGGGCAAACTACAGAAGGAAAAGAAGTTTCTTCGCCGAAACGACACCAGACAAGACTTTATCAATCAATATTAGCATGTCAGCAACATGAGGAATCTCTCCTAGCAGACTAGTCAGCTAATAAAGATTATATCGAAATTTGTGTTTCACCTCAGGCTATGCTGAAGTACTTGGTACATCTTCAGCACGTTCATCTGGTGTAGTGGCTGATGGCGGTTTCACCACCAGAAGAGGTCTGGGTGGCAATGGTCTGACTCGCGCAACTATCTCTTTGCATATTTCAAACTGCAATGTGTAAAGAAACAAGAAATTGCAGATAAAAACGTAGGCGAAGAGAGCAAGTGACAAGTCTATGTTCGCAAGCTCAGACCAACCTTATAACCACATCCAGCTACACAGACACTGAAGCATTTCTGTATGATAGAAAAATCAACAATGGATTTAATATTATAATATTTGACCAAAAATATTGCTTATTTCACTAATCCGTATTATGGGTTCATATACATTGAATTATGAGATGTTTGAAGAACACATTCTGAGTCACATGTATCTCCACCAAATAAGAGTACTGATGTTCTTCAAAGACAGCACTTTCACCTTTAATTTCATTGGAAGTGCATATTATGCAGAGTATAATCAGGATAACAGAATAAGTCACCTCTCATGAAGCTTCCATGTGACTATGGTGCTCATCTTTTCTGAAAAGAAGGCAGAATCTTGCAAAAAAAAAAAGCATATCCCGTTTTACGAAGTCTAGAAGCAAGACAACAAGTGGATCTAGCTCTACTAGCACAGACAGAGTACCTTGGGGTGCTATTGAGAAAGTTATCTCCGTAATGGATTTTATTTACACTTTTTGTACAGTACTTTCAAGTGTGTGTGTGTGTGTATCAGGTTTTGTTTGATTCATTGCAATTCCAAGAATATTCCAGACATAATCAAGCAGCATCACAGGTAACCAACTCCAGAGCGCCATAAAGGCACTTACGGGAGAATATAGCCTTTGATACACACAAAGACTAAGTTCGTTGTGCCACAACCTGTCTAACACTAAAAAGCAATTGCAAACCAGTGTAAATAATCAACCCTGAATAGCAGAAATGAACACCAGGTTCAAAAAGTACGAAAAACTTTTTGCTAGAGTACTGCACTAGATTTCTAAAGAGAACATAAATTGACCAAATTTGCATAATAGCAGACCTTCAGATGTTCATTCTTTCAAACAGTAAAACATAACATAAAAAGCAGCTCATAACAATCCGATGATCGAACAGCAGTTCAACCATACATGACATGAAAAAATAGAATTAAATGACAATATCTAGAGTTATTACAGGTGAGAAAATGGGATGAAAAAGGCCACAAGATTAAGTACCTGGGAGTAATTGGCAGCTCCAGGAGAGCGATCAATGTATGCAATCCATTTCTGGTCCTTCAATACAGGATTCTTATAGCACATCTCATCGCACTCGATAAACCTGAAAAGTGAATAATCATAAAAATAAAGACATAATCAGCTTTAAAAGACATGCTGTTCCACTGTGTTCATTAAGGTTGGTTAAAGAACTATGCCAATCGATGAAATAATCATGAATAATCTGAAAAAAGAAATGCTTAATACATTAATCAACAATGAACCATCATTGTTTAGGGAGACTAATCGCTCATAAATATGACCCAAGTACTGAAAAGCCGACAAGGAACATCAAACCACCTATTAAATCTGATTTGATGGAACATACAACTTTCTCCTCGGAACCGGTTTCGAAATCAAAAGCAACAATTAATACAAAACTGCTTACATTATTCCCATGTCTCTCCATCCGCGCTACACCCTTTTTTGCAAAACACACTCCCTAAAAGAATTCGACATTGTTAGTAGCGTTCATAGATGGCGGAGTTACAAATAGATTTCTCAGATAAATCAACCATCGCTCATAATTCAGAAATAGGTGGAAATCAAAATGAAGAAAATCCCGAATTCATCTTATAAGCAACTCGTTGCACAAATGCACAAATTTCATATATAAATTGAATTCCAAATCCATTTCAGTAAATAAAATTCATGTAACGGTAAAATACTGAAATAACTATTAGAAAAGTCCATACGGTAAATTTACATATCGGTAATACATATACGAGAAGACTGTAGCAAAAACACGTGTCACCAAAGTATAACAAAAAGAGCATACAGAAATATAATGTGATAAAAAAGTGAGGAAAAATCGGTACTCCTGATGCCAAGTCAGTTAGTCCACTATCTAGTACTATATGTAAAGTTAAAAAAAAATTAAAGAATGAGCTAAAAAGTCCGCTACAGGTCTAGAACTCACACTACCTCTCTGAGAAGACTCATCACTACCTCTCTTGTTGCAACGCGCAGAAACATCATCAGAACCAAAAGATCCCCTGAATTAGTCTCTATCTTTGTCTCGGTATTTATCTCTCCTACGCTCCACCTCTTCAGTAGTCTTGGTTATCTCTACGAAGGTATCAAAGTCCCTCTCCTTGTGGGTAGCAATTCGATCTCTGATCTCATACCTGAGTCCATTCTCGAACCTCAAGCATCGATCCACCTCGGTGTCCACCAAACCCGGAGCATATCTACTCAATCTGATAAACTCGATCTCATAATCCATAACAGACATATCACCATGCTCCAAATCTGAAACTTCTAATGTCGCTCCTGTAAGTATCTCTTTTCGATGTAACAACTCTGTAAACGTCCCTTGAAAAGATCCCAAGTCAACTAATCCCTCGGGATACTCCTGGAAATTGAATTCCATCACCTCATCGCTTTATTCTTAAGTAAAGCTAGTGCTCCCTTCAACTTCTGCTCGGGCCTCAGCTCCATCTCATCCATAATCCTCTCTCGGTATCCTCCAACCAGTACTCAGCATCTGTCAGAGGTCCTCCAGTAATACCCTCAAATGGAACCACTCCTGCAGCCACTAAAGACGTATATATATATATTCACAACAGACATATTAACATGAGCACTAGTTGCCCTATGAAACATGCGATAAACAACTCTGTCTATAGTACCATGATCCATCTCAACATACTTGTCCAAATTAAAGTGAGGGTCTCTCATAGGTGTAACTGGATCATCTCGAGAAGTAGACGGATAGACACGCGGAGCAGGAGGATCTCTGGCTAACGTCGAATCCTTAAAAGAAATAGAAGATTGAGTCACTCGCCCATGATCCCGACTACAGCCAGTCCTATGACCTCGAGCACTCATCTAGTTATATCTAATAGGCTATACAGAAATAATTTAAACTTAAGTTATACTGACATCAGAAATCTCAAATCCATTTAAAACTCGTAAAATAAGGTGATAAGGTGTTTGTAAATATCAGAAAATATCTTTTAAAAATGCAGTATATGAACTCATCCACAGTCTGAGTGTTTAAAACCGAAAGCTATGATACCACCAAATGTAACCCCTAGACTCGACATGGGAGTTATGACTGAATCTAGATGGTCACATATCGTATTCAGGAGTCATTTTCATATATAAACCGAATTCCAAATCCATTTCAGTAAATAAAATCCATGTAACGATAAAATACTGAAATAACTATAAGAAAAGTTCATACGGTAAATATATAGAGATATACATGTCGGAAAATAAAATATAGATAATACAGATACAAAAAGACAGTAGGAAAAACATGTGTCACCAAAGTATAACAAAAATGACATACAAAAATATACAGTGATACAAAAGTGAGGAGAGATCGATCCTCCTGATGCCAAGTCTGCTAGTATATTGTCTGGTACTATTTGTAAAGTTAAAAAATAAAAAAATGGGCTAAAAGGCTCATTGTGCTCCTTACGGTGTATACAAACATACATATAAAATATTTCGTTAAAAGTTTATTTATAAAACATTATTTTTAAAATATGAACGATGCCCCCATCTGAACACCAGAATATGTAGGTCCCCTGAACCATACACCCACATAAATGCCCGGCAAGGACCTTATGCTGATATCATAAGGGCCTGCAGTAAGGTCTTAGCATGTGCACAAAACAGAAGTGCATATAGTAAGGTTTTACAAGTCAGAGACTATGCCTGAAATACTTCCTCTAGTCCTACCCCTAAATGATAATAAATATGCATGAACTTGAGTGAAGATGGAAATTTAATTTAATAAAACCTTAAAACATGTCATTTTTTAGAATTAGATACAGAACTACGGTAACCAGAAATCATGCCAGAATATACAGTAAATTAGATATTAAAAGTCAAAGTATGCGATAAAACATATGTCATGCAATCTGAATATTTAAATTTCCAAAACAGTTCAAACATATAATTTAAAACAGTAATGTAACACCAATAGGAACACACTTGTATCGATCTGAGAAGTCTGGGA